ACACCTCTCCAGTCCATCAGTTAATGTCTTGTAAAACAAAAAGCAGCATGTTTATAACAAACAAATCCATCATTAAGATGTTTTTAACATCAATCTGTTGCTTTTGGCCAAAATATGAGTCCAAAATCCATAATCACGCTTCCTTCATATTTGTTTATAGACTGTTTTTGCTTGCTTGTTTTTTTACTTGAGAAATCAGCATTATGGATTGGCGACTCGTATTTTAGCTGGAAGCAGTGGTTTGACGTTAAAAACGTCTTTGTGATGGATTTGTCTCTTTCAAACAAGCAGATTTTCACTTCAAAAGAAATTTCTCCAAATCTGTTCAGATGAAGAAACAAACTCATCTACATCTCGGATGGCCTGAGGGTGGGTAAAATGTCAGCACATTTTCATTTTTGTGTGAACTGGCGACTCGTATTTTAGCTGGAAGCAGTGGTTTGACGTTAAAAACGTCTTTGTGATGGATTTGTCTCTTACAAACAAGCAGATTTTCACTTCAAAAGAAATTTCTCCAAATCTGTTCAGATGAAGAAACAAACTCATCTACATCTCGGATGGCCTGAGGGTGGGTAAAATGTCAGCACATTTTCATTTTTGTGTGAAATTATGTAGTTGACAACAAGCCAACAAGCTTGGTCACTTCAACAAATAGTGATTGCTGTTGTCCTTTTTCATGAAATTATGGAGTTTTTTCCACAAGAAAATCAGATTATCTTTCTTGCTCACTGCTGGTATTGATGTAAGATTACTTTGAGCTTATTGGAGACAGCGATGGTTAATACCTTTTGCATGAAGTTATACGTGCTCGGTTTAGCGGAGGAAAGTGTCATTGGTGACGGCATCCTGCTGCCAGTTAGCGCTGAAATTAATGCCATCTGATATTCAGAACCAATCCACATGTGACAAATGGCAAAATTTAACACACTTTGCCTGGAGGATGGTTACTAGAGGCATGAAAAATGGCGGCATTGTCACAGCGGTGGCACAGAGGCAGAATGTGCTCTTGACAATAAATGGACCATTAGGTGGACATCTTATATTGACATATTGCTTAGACAAATCATTCAGTCCCAGTTTAAGTTTGTCTTTCATTTATTTATTTGTTTGTTTAATAACAAATCAATAAACAGCATTAATATTACAGGTATTTATTTATTTGTTTGTTTATTTTTTAATTTTGGATGGGCAATTTTGGACAGCTAATTTGTTATTGTTTGAGTCTGTGGTGAGGTAGTGCTACTGCTGAAAACATGCTGTTGCTGAAAAACAGATGAAAACATCACTGGTAATGTGTATGTTGATCGCTAAAATGAATGTATATTTACCTGTACTTTAACTGTAGGCCTGCAGCAAGCTTTCCGAGTACTCTGTCATTTACATTGGATATTTTTGAGTGACTTCTGGCTCGTTAGCTTTGACTCTGCTCGCTTGACATTAAAGTTGTTCTAATTATAAGCTAGGGACACAATTAAAGCGTAAACATTTCTGTGAATCAGTGAGCTGACCTTCTCCTGTGGAGACATACATTTTTCCTGAAATTCCTGATAAAGCGAGCTGTTCACTTGAAAGTGTTGCCGATATCTGTTGAACAGTTACATTGATGTTTACAGTCTTTCACTTACGACCTTGTCATTTCTGTCTGTCCATCCTGTCTGTCTGTCTATTGTTCATTCTATCTTTCATTCTATTGCTCTATTTATCATTCTATCATTCTTTTTTCATTCATTTGTTTGTTCTTTTGCACATTCTATCTATCTATCTATCTATCTATCTATCTATCTATCTATTTATCATCCATTTGTTCTGTCTGTTGTTTGATTGTTAGTTTGTTCATTCTCTCTTAAAAACAAAGGTTCTTAATTGGCATCAATGGTTCCATGAAGAACCTTGAACATCCATGGAACCTTTCAAATGAAGAAAAGGTTCTTTATAGTCAAAAAAGGTTCTTTAGATTTTTAAATGTTCTTCAAAATAGTTTTTTTTTTAGGAAGGAAGGTTTGGGGAAACAAAAATGGTTCTTCTACGGCATCACTGCAAAAACACCCTTTTGGAACCTTTATTTTTAAGAGCGTTCCTTCAGTCATTCTATTTATGATTCTGTGATTCTATCTCTCGTTCTGTTTATGATTCTGTGATTCTATCTCTCGTTCTGTTTATGATTCTGTGATTCTATCTCTCGTTCTGTTTATGATTCTGTGTGGTTCCATGAAGAACCTTGAACATCCATGGAACCTTTCAAATGAAGAAAAGGTTCTTTATAGTCAAAAAAGGTTCTTTAGATTTTTAAATGTTCTTCAAAATAGTTTTTTTTTTAGGAAGGAAGGTTTGGGGAAACAAAAATGGTTCTTCTACGGCATCACTGCAAAAACACCCTTTTGGAACCTTTATTTTTAAGAGCGTTCCTTCAGTCATTCTATTTATGATTCTGTGATTCTATCTCTCGTTCTGTTTATGATTCTGTGATTCTATCTCTCGTTCTGTTTATGATTCTGTGATTCTATCTCTCGTTTTGTCATTCTATGATTCTGTCCTTCTATCTATCCTTCAGCCATTGTATTTATGATTATGTCATTCTATCTATCATTTAAACATTCTGTCTCTCGTTCTATAGTTCTTTCTATGATTCTGTCATTCTATCTATTGTTTGATCAGTCGTACCATCCATTGTTTCTTCTGATCTATCATCTGTTCATTTTATCAGTCATTTGTTCCATCATTCTGTCAATCTAAAGAGCAATACTCTATCTATCATTCATTTGTCCATTCTATCAATCATCTGTTCTGACATTCGTTCTATCTAATGGTCTATTGTTCTATCTTTTCTACGTATGTTCGTTATATCATTAGATCTATCTGTTGTTCTTATTTTATTGTTCTTTCTATCTTTTGTTCTGTCTATCGGTCCATCTGTCTTTGGAACATCCATTTGTTTGCTCTGACTGTCTATCATTAGTTCTATTTATTGTTCTGTCATTCTTTGTCATATTATTTAATCTATCGTTCTGTCATTCTAGCATTCTGTCATTCCATCTGTCTGCTCTGTAAACTTCAAATTTTATGTTACAGTAATATGACTAGTTATACTTCCTTAGATTCAAATTTGAATTGGAATTCTGCATCCTGTTTACTACCTCAACTCAACTCTAAATGGCATACAACTCTGGTAGCAACTTACAAGAGCAACTACATGGCACGCTAAAAACTAATCAGAACCACTCAGCAACCGTATAGCAACATGCTGGCAGCTGCCCAAAACACCCTAGCATCCTGATGGTAACTTCGGCACAGACAATCCCCACTCGTGTTTTCTTCAGAAAATGTTGTTTTGTCCCCTTCAGCTGCTCTGGCTATTTTTGCCTGTCTGTTTCCATCCTCCCTGCTGTCATACCTGAACATCTCTCTCTCTCAACCTGAACCGAGTGCTGTATCACACTTTCCTCTTTCTCATTTCCCCCTCACTGGCTCACCATGTATTCAATTAAAATGGCAATTTGATGAAAAATTCCATCTCGACGGAATGTGTTGCTCCAGTAATCTGTCTGCAGTCAGCGAGGCGACTGGACGAGGTCTCCATTCATCTTCCACGGCTTTCATTTCACAGCACAATCACGGTCCGCTCCGCACAGATGCCTTTCTTCGCAGGACCTCTCACCTTTTTCTGTTCCCCTGCAGGTCCAGGAGTCGCTCAACCCCAACAATCTGGAGTACTGGATGGAGGACATCTACACGCCGGGCTATGATTCGCTGCTCAAGCGCAAGGAGGCGGAGTTTCGCAGAGCCAAGGCGTGTAAAATCGGCGCATTGATCGCTGCGGCCGCCTGCACTGTGATACTGGTCATCGTAGTGCCCATTTGCACCATGAAGTCTTGAGGTTTCTCTTTTTTTCTGTCGGATGGTGTTCGTTTCACTTGGACAAACATGGGACTTCATTTGCGGGGATTGTAATTAGGTCTGATTTCAGCCTTAGACTTTCCTGGAATGTCAATCGAAATATATCACAACAAAGAGTTAAGGATTGCAAATTGACGTGTCTTTTTTTATTTACCCTAGTCAATATTTATAACTTGACTAAATTATTTGTTATGTAGTAGATGGCCTTACTTAAAGGCTTGGAGGTGCACCCTTGTTTTATAGTGCAGAATATAATGTACCGATATATTTTATGTCTGTTTCTTTTTCTGGTATTGCAGTAGAAACTAAAGGGAAAGCTTTATGTTTAAGCGCATTCTATTTTTTACTTTACTATGATTATGAGAATTTTAACGAGAGTTATTTTTCGATGAATACGCCGACAGAATGTTTTAAAGACGAGTTGGATTTATCTTTGGAAATCACTGGAATGTTTGGGCTCGTGCAATGCCTTTTTATAAGGATTATATATTCAGATAGCGCAAATATAGTTCATGTGTGCATTCAATAAGAACTTAAAGGAAAAGTTCAGTCAAAAATGAAAGTCTGTCATTGTATATTCACCCTCATGCCGTATCGAAACTTGTGTGCTTTTCCATGGATTTTTTTGTGGTTTTAATGACCATTTTCTTTAAAAAAAAAAAACCAACAACAAAAAAACACCATGTAAGTAGACTGTATGATTTTTGCGTTAAATTCTAAGTGAAAATTTTTCAGTGAATACTAATACGCTAAGCAGCTCAAATGCGCAACTGATAACAAAAAAACCTGGATCTGCCCACATTTATATGCAATTTAGTGGGGGAAAATTTCAAAGTCATTTAGAATTCTTCAAAAATGGTCCTTTTGTGTTCCACAGAAAAAAATAACATCATACCGGTTTGACAGAATTTTCTTTTTCAGGCAAATTATTCCTTAATGTTGAAGGGTTTTGATTGTACAATGTGAGCACAGTAAAATGACTCATTAATGATGTTTACTGATTTTGTTTGAATAGTGAAACGTGACTTTATTTCCTTCTGATTGGTTCTGTGTTAATGTCAATACAACACTTAAAAAACAATTATATCATAGTACATAGGCTATAGCTTTCTCTTTGATTGTGATTATATATACTTTGCCTTGTTATATCATAACTAATCATAATACTGTATACTTGAATTGCCAAATCACTTTCAACTAGCTCAGTTTTTCTCTGAAAGTCGAATGTTTTTCTTAAACTTATTCACCAGACCTAAAATTGGACCTGACAATGGAAACTGTGAACTTACCTTAATGAGGTTCACTTTTGACGCTCTTTACACCCGTTGTAGGAGTGATTCTTCTGAGAAGTCAAGCTGTAGGACCATTGAGTGAAAACCGCCTGTTAGTCAGAAACAATATTGCACTCAGACGCTGTTCTAAAACTAATGAGCTGCATTGCTTGTCTAACGCCTACATAGTCAGCTAACTTCTAAGGCAGCATCTAAGCCCTTAGTGACTGATTTGGTGCGCTCTAAATAGGCAGCAACTGTGTGTCATAGCATTCCTCATGTGAAGCACATAGGAAACTCGATTGACAATTGATTTTTAGAGTTTGACACAAGCACGTTGCTCTTTGGAACAGCCTGTGTGATGCCTTAAATGCTGTCTATGTAATCAGCTCACAAGGTTTTGGAGCAATGCCTGAGCAAAAACAGGAAACAACATTGTGCTAACAAACTGATATTTGCAGGTTTTTCTTTTATCATCAATCTGTGAATGTTATAAAGGCTAGAGTGCTGCAGGAATGACTTCAAACGAGAGCATTTTAGCATTTCCGGTTCCATCGTCCTGAGGTTTTTTTTTTTTAATGGATTTTTGGTTAAATGCCTGAAGTAAGGTCTGTGATGAACATGAGCTCAAAATATTTACGTTTTATTTTATGATTTAAAATGCATCAGTGAAACGTTCTATTGACAAGCTTTTACTTGTCTTAAAAGGCGATTGCTAACAAGTGTCTAAATGGGAATTGAACGTCATCACTGCAAACCAGGTAAACTGATACACTCGCTAGTCTGCTTTCACAGCCTCATTGCATTTATAATCATCTTCTTGCAAACTATTCACTCAAATTTTCCAACAGTTACATATTTAAGATTAAAAGAGTAGTCAAGCTAAGTGGCGGGGACGCTGACTTCATACAAACATGTTGTTTGTTTATAGCCTACAATTAGCTTTTTACTTTTGGTGATTGTATTTAGACTTTAAAATGAATAAAAGCTGTGTTCATTTGTTAAGATCCTAATGAACAAAATGTGTAAGAACTTTTGTTGGTCACAGAGCTTTTTTTCTGCAATAATCCAAAAGACAATGGGAAAAAAATCCCAATGGGTTTTTGTTGAGGGAACCAGGGAACCTGCAAAAATCATCCCTGCAGCACTTTTGACCACAGCTTATCACATAACAGTGCATTTCTTTCCCCTTAACCAAAACCAATGGGCTGACTTTATAGCCTGGTTCCGTGAAACTTAAAGGTAAAGTGTGTAATTGTTTATGTTAATAGACTTTATCTTATATTAATGAAAAAGTTCACCCAAAAATGAACATTTACTCACTCTCAGGCCATCCAAGATGTAGATGAGTTTATTTCTTCATCAGAACATTTTTGGAGAAATTTCGCATTACATCACTTGCTCAGCAATGAATCCTCTGCAGTGAATGGGTGCCGTCAGAATGAGAGTCCAAAAAAAAAAAACATCACAATAATCCACACCACTCCAGTTCATCAATTAACATCTTGTGAAGTGAAAAGCTGTGTTTTTGGCCTGAGGATGAATGCATTTTTATGTAAACTTTTCCTTGAACTAGAACTAGAAGTAAACAATTTGTAGATTTATTGCCTTGAAATGTACACAAGGGGCAGTATGAGTGTTTAGGAAACCTGTTTGGTACCACTAGTGCCATAGAAATAACACACTTCACCTTTAAGAGAAATTTAATTTGCACACAAGAATGACATTAATAGAATGATCCTTTCCACATGTGACTTTCCACAACTACTACTTTTGATCTTACATTTGTTCCTGAGAGATCTGCAACAGCATTATTTTCCGACAATGAATAGATTTTGAAGTATATACATTTATATCCCTATTACCGCTGTAGTTTTGCAGTGTAATATTCAGAAACATACAGGAGTAATTCACCAAATAATAAAGCTTCTGGTATTTATTTGCTCACCTTATGTCAATCCAAATCATATGCTGATATTTTCTCAATACAACAGGAAAATTATGAAATTATGTGATATTATTGTGTGAGAATAACAGCATATGGGTTTGTTATGGCATGAGGTTTGAGTAAATAAGGACTTGAACTCATGCTTTTTGTTGAACTATTCCGTTAATTGACCTGATCAGTAATTAGGGCATTTGAATGTGACTTTTTCTTTGATTGGCCGAATGTCTGGTGACCTCGCCTTCGACACAGGAACTGTGTGTAGTAGCACGCTGTAGAACCCTGTAAATAACTTCAGGTTCAAAGCGCATTGTGTGAATCAAGTGTAACTGGAGTCATATTCTAATAAATCTCTTACTGTTCAGACTGTTAAATGTGCAACGGCCTATTTCTTTGCATGTGTTTCTTAGTATCATGATTCGATTTTCATAGTTTTCTATCCTATTCCTCTGGATGTGTTTCTCAGACTATGACAGGTGTCTAAATATGGAAAGTCTAATGATGGTGTTTTCCGGGGAATGTTGAGGCGACAGTGATATCTATAAATATCTCGAAGTATTCCAGGTGGTCCATCAAACACTCGTCATGTTACTATTTTTGCGATTAAACTTGCATTTGTAGGCTCTGTTCTGAAACCTGGTGAGCTGCAGCCTTTCAAGGCATCATAAATGTGTTTCTGACATGAAGACATAGGTATACAGCAAGGTATACAGCACTGGATGCATATGTTGTGGAGAAGGCAATACCATACTGCATTGTTTCATAAAAGCTGCTGCAAAAATGGTTTCTTTTTAAATATACTATCATTTGATTTTTTTTCTCTTGAAAGAAATTAATAATTTTATTCAGCAAGAAAAGTAACAGTAAACACTTTTACATTGTTATAAAAAAATTATATTTCAAATAATCATGTGACACTGAAGACTGGAGTAATGATCCTGAAAATTCAGCTTTGATCACAGAAATAAATTACATTTGACAATATATTCACGTAGAAAACGGTCATTTGAAACTGTAATGATTTTTTACAATATTACTGCTTTTACTGTATTTTTTAGCAAGCAAAAACAGTCTTCGTCAGCATAGGTTTTTTCCCCCCCTTCTAAGTCATGGGATAAAAAAAAGAAAACAGCCCCAGATTTATTCCAAAGCCAAAAATTATTGATTGACTTACATTAAATTACTGTTTTAAATACTGGTAGGATTTTAGAAAAGCTTCATTATCAACAACCATGTAAGTTAATATATTTAATCAATGTCACACATTTTAGTTCATATAATGCACTGAAAAAAAATGATTCATTGAATTTACAAAAATTATGGTAAGTGGTTGAAATCAATTTATTTTAGCTAAATTTAAATAAATTTAGTTGACTAACTTTCAACATTTTTTTTAAATGTTGCTAAAATAAAATGGTTTGCAACCACTTACCTTAAAACATTTTTAAACATTTTTTTTCAGTGTGTGCATTGATGAATCATCTACAATAAGATGGGGGGCATGTAATAGGAAAGTAAATTGGGACATTTTTGATGTCACGTTGACTTTATGTACAGTATGATATGACCATGCAGCTGCTCTCCGTTTCTGTCGGTGTGAGATGTACCTCGTGCTGGATTCTGGCCCGGTGAGTGGAGCTTATATGAAATCTGGCACAGGTTGGTGTATAGAGCTGGCACTGGCCTGGCACTGGGGACATTATCAAGAGCAGATCTAAACTAGACTACCAGAACCCGCTGAGACCAGAAAACACTTTTCAGAGGGACTCTGTAAAGAGGGACACGTATGAGAAGATATTTTAGAGTGAATTTTAAGGACATTGATTGCCACAAAGTACAGGAAGTCCTGTGAGTTCTGTTTATTAGTGATGGGCGATGATACTATTTATTTACTCTGTGATTTCAACTTCAATTTTAAGGTCAGTATAACCGAGACCAATGTAATACTTGCAGGCTATTAAAGCTACTGTATGTAGTTTTGTGTATTTTTTTTTACTCTGGAGCCCCTTACAGTTAAGTTAGTGGAATTCACTGTTGTAAATAAATCACTGTCGTAATTACAGCGGATTCCCTGTTAGCGGGTGTTTACCTAAAATACATATTTTACAGTCACCTCTATGCAGATTGATCATGAACACAGTTAAGGCTTCCTACCAGTGTGGCCGTCCTTCACAAAACTTAACATCTACCACAGTTTTATCATAGAATGCTAAATTTTTCAAGCATTTCAGTCAAATGTAATTTATACAATATTTCAAACCTTTAACCCATCACGGGAGAAAATCAACCCACCACAACAGTTTAAAATCAACTCAATTCCGTGCAAAATGCAGATTTGGCAACCCTGCATCCAACACTAGCTGCCTGCAT